GCCACAACCGGGAAGATGTGTGTTGTTCGTACGCCTCCTCTTGGTTGGTTTGGACTCAGAGTTTTTGGCCAACTCCCCTAGGTAAACTCCCAGTGGTCCACCAACCCGGTTATAGCCCCGGGATGTCGGCTTTCTGTCCTATCACTTCGGTGCGAAAACACCTCCTCGACGAGAAGGCAGTGATTAGGGCTTCCTCAGAAAAGTCTGTTTGAGACGCTTGGTCCTATGGGAGTATTTCGCGAGATACAAGGGAAGGGCGACCAGCCGCAACCCTAGACACCCACCCCCAAACATACTGAGGCTTTCGGAGACTTGAGTAATTTGTTTTAACCTAGAATTCACCTGGTGGACTCCAACGATTCCAAGAAAAACCTACCATGGCAGTCAGCTTACACCCGACGTGATTTATTTTATGCGCTCCCTGTGTATTGGTCAGTGTTAGTCGTGGTCTCGCAGTTCAACTGATGGTGCGAACTCTGTATGGGCGAGTGACCGTCGTCCATGCATGGATTCTAATCCCACTGATGCTCATGATCTCCTCTTAGTCGGATGATACAAAAGTCAGTGCATTCCCAAGTGATCTTTGTAACGATAAGATGTTCAGATGAACTGCTTGATTGTATTCACAAGTTTTTCTACGCGAAAGCTCTTGTGATCAACCTGTTCGGGTTTGGGAGAACTCATTTTTCTTCAACGCGCCGTCCTAAAATAAGTTATGAATATATATATATATATATAATAACAAAGTACTCTAGTAACACTATTCAAAAATGGTCTCAGGGGACATCCATCAAAAATTTTGCTCCTAAAGAGTCGGCGTGATTGCAGGCGTCACTCTTTCAGTTTCAGAGTTTGTAATACCCATAAACATTTGAATTTGTATCTTATTTCCATTTTAACCATTTTACTCTTTCAGGAGCTTCTCTACCAAGAGGCGATTTTGTTTGTCCTGGTGGACTATCCATCCCGTATGATTGGGTTTGTGATCAGAAAGCTGACTGCCCCGGAGGCGAGGACGAAGCGGTGGGTCCACACACTCAATCTCAATGTTCTCCGTCAAAAGTGCTTCAAGAACCACAATCATCTTGTCCTTCGGGAATGTTTGCCTGTGGGCGTGTGTCCACTCTGACTACCGCTCGATGTATTCCGGAGGATCGTGTTTGCGATGGGGTGTACGACTGTGAAGATAGGTCCGATGAGTTCACCAACTGCGGTATGTAGATATGTGACCTTTGAATGTACTTCTTGATATCACTCGCTTGTTGCTGTCGCTTAGAGAAGTTTAGCACCAGCTATGTTGCTGTTTGTCGGCCCACGTATGACCTTGATATAACTAAGTACGTACGTCTCAGTGTCGATCAACCACGTCGACAAGTTTCGTGTCGCGTTTGGAAAGTAGTGACAAAAATGACATTTACTAAATCTAGTTGTCGAAACCTTCTCTCACAAAACACAGGGAAGGTGTTGTTTAGCAACTGAAAAGCCACCTGTGTGTTCATTCCGACGCGTTAGAAAACAGTTTGCGGGAATATGATAAACAGACGACCATGAAATACTTAGATGATAAATAGTGTTTTCTAACCTCACATCATCAAGGAGTGGTTGTGACCTTGATATAAAGACATAAAAGTGAATGATGAAGTGCATGGTAACTTGATTCCACTCATGATCTCCTCATTCCAGTGGGCCAGGAAAAAAACAGTTACGATTACTACCGAGAGGATGCATACCAGCGTAAACTCGATTGCAAGCTATTTTGACCCGTGTGCCGATTTAAATAAAATAAGTTTTTCTATTTTTAGTGCTTTATCGTTTACTTTCCTCATTTTTTTCTGTATTTATGTGATGCCTTATAGGCTTCGGATTCTTGATTATGCGAAGGGATTCCTTGGTTTCAAGTTGAAACAAAACTGGCAGATTTATCTATGGGTCTTGGAGACCGAATTTAGTAAAACCATCCAAACGTTTCATTTGCGTGCGCATTTTGTTCGTTGTAGCTGTGAGAAGGTATCGAGCTAATTAAATATTGACCTTGCCAGATATAAAGATGTACTTTTAACGTGTTGGATTCTGACACAACCATGCAAAAGGTAGTTGTCCAAAATTAGTATACAAACGTAACCGTGACACCCACGTGGTTTGTGCATTCGCATCTGAAATAGTACTATGATGTAGGTGCCCGGTTAGGAATCGTTTTCATCTATCTTTCATCTGGCTTGAGCGAACCATGATGTAGAGTACTTCAGACGTAAGCAAGTAATCTCAAGCATACTGTCCTCAATAAACAGAAACTTCTGATTTATCGTATGCCTTTCTTCATAGGGAGCAAAACTAAAATTGCCCTTCACACGAACCCTTAGAAAAAATGTCCTAGTTTCGCCCCCTTAATTCGCAACGCGTAGCACAGTAAGGAGATCTTTGCGGGAGAGAGTGGGGTAAAACTATACGGTACGTAAGGAAGAATCGATCGAACTGTATCGAGTTTTATTGACCTGATGGACAGAAGACGTTAGTTAGATAAAGTTTAAGGCTTTACAATACTCTAACACCAAAGCGAGACGGGCTGTACATTGGGATCTGACTCATTGTCTACCNACTTACGTGTGGGCAAATAGTGAACGAATCAAATTAATTGTTTCTCGAAATAAACTTCAACAAACAAACTTGAACGAATAAACTTTGACACAACACTGTTCGCTTGCAGTGTTGTGTTAACTCCGGAAATAATGACTTCAATTTAATCAAACCGCACCTCTCGAAATCTGTGGTCAAGCGCTTACAATGTTGTGTTTTTTGTTCAAGTGAGCGAATTGTTAGGGGTAATTATGCTCTTTGGGAACTGGGCGCTAACTGAACAATTGCTTTCTTTTTGTTCAACGCTACTCACGGCTCAATCTACGCTTTCCAATAGTCTCCGTTAGCTTAGCGACAAAGGAATATATAATCTTGTTCTCATTTAAATCAAGCAAATTCACAGACTAGGGTTTTTATGGTTCTTTGTTTTGGCCCCCAACCAGAAGCAACGCGGTCTGAGTTCCGGCTGCCGAGTCTTAACAAACTGCCCACCAGTGCTCTCTAAGACCTATTGCACAAACTTTCATCACAAATAAAGTGCAATAAATTGCAATACTAAAGTAGCCTAAAAAATGGTAAACGTTATGAGATATACAGCGTCTAATAGCCTGTCCCTAATGCATCCGATTATATGCTGTTCGTGCACACCGTAATTGACTCCTATGCAAGAAACACTGACGCTTACCGATTTTACCGTCGGCTGTAGCGTAACGCAACGCCAGATTTCATAGAGGATACTGTCTTAGAGACGTTCAGAGAATATGAGCAAATAAAAAGAGTTGGACACGAGAAAGGGAAGATTCCGGGTTGCTGGAAACACGCTGTTGAAATGTATCTGCTAACTTTGTCATTTTGGCTTGCGGTAATTAACATCACTCATGAGTGGTCAATCTTCAGTTGATGTAACAATCCTTATTATTCTATCCGGTATTTGCTTAATTAAGCTCCGACTTAAGTTGTGTCATTTCATAATGAAATGAACAAACAGATTTTTGGATGATTTGTGAGACTACACGTTGTTTGTCTGAACCACTACCACCACCGCCAGCATCACCACCACCATCACTGCGTAATCTGCAACAGAGATGGACATTTGCTCGTCCCATCTGCATACTAGAGATATTCCACCATGTCGTGTGTGGCGTAGGTGTATCCATGATCAGTTCTACACAGACTGTTGACACGAATGCTTTTACTATTAAACTATTATCCTAACAAATGGATAGACCACTTTGTTACAAACCATTAAAAAAACGTACAATAAACATATTCTTTTATTTTTATCCATCCGAACGGCTTTCATTAGTGAGACAATTCCTATTTGTTATGCTAGGCGAACAGGATCTGTTTACTTTTGTTCTTGTGAGGATCTGTTTGCTTGGAAGTTTATCCAATCCCCACCTTTCTGATACATTTATTGAAAAAGTGTTGTATATATTGTCAGTTCGTACGATGTAAGGACGGGACCATATTTAATCCATATTACCGTGCACTAAATTGTTGGTCGTTAACCGCACAGCTCAGAGTTGAGAATTTCTGTTTTCAGCCCGAAGATTCGTGATTCGAGTTCCCGCAGGACACAGGATTACTAAGCACTACTGATGAGTCCCAACGACGACGAAACAGCTGTCGAATGCTTTTTATTGGCCTTCATACCATATTCGTCAACGGTTTTTAACCTGCTTTGTACAGTTTTTTTTACGAAAAACACTTCGAAGTGGCCTAATCGAAGCTGCAGATATACGCTCGACTGTCATAGATTCCAT